CTTGTTGTCGGCCATTAATAGTACATCATCCGCGTGCATGAATGCTGGTAATGACTGTTCAATGTGTTTTCCTTGCTTGGCGAAAGAGAGGCTGAAGCCGAGTCGACTCCCCTCCGATTTGACTTCTAGTCCCTGTAGATACATCATAAATGACAAAGGTGACAAGGGACATCCCTGTCGAAGCCCGCATCTATCTCTATAGGTTCTGATACCAGTTCTTCTCATTTGACTCAATGAGAGCGCAGATGCGCAATCTAGTGGCCTCTTATTTACTAAAGCACACGTTTCCTACAGATGTAGTGGAGTGGAGCGAGCGCCGCAGCGCCATCTAAAGAGCAATTCGAGTACTACGGGTGGCTACGATGGACGACGAGGGACTGGCCTGCATGCTAAATAGCTTCGCCCTTAAAAATCATTGGAAAAACTTGGATGACGCTTGCCACGCTTCTCAGTAGACGCGTTCCGCTAGGAAAAGATACGTCTTGTGCACGTGACAATCGCAGCTGGTTTCAGACGCTATACAGAGGCAGGCCTTCCCGTGTTGCTCCGCCCCCGGCAACTCGCAGCTGATTTCGCTTTTGCCCACTCGCACCGTTGACGCGGTTAAAGTATCATAAACACGCCAAAACATGAGAGGAAGAAACGTTTGGATATAGTTCAATGCGCATTTCGGAGATAAATTACGAGCAGATTTTTCTTGGAGAACTAAACAGCGCTGTTGAGGCCACACACTGGCCCGTACGTCAAAGACGCATTGAAAAACGGGCGTATACCGAAAAGCTGATGCTGTCTAAGAAATCAAAGGAAGAAACGAAGGCATTCTTGCAAAATAAAAAAACAACAACGGCATTTTACCTACGAGATTACATGCAACTGTTTGAGCGTCACAATAAATTAAACGGAATTTTTTTCAGCAAGGCAAAACGACAACTTCTCGTAAGTATACTATTTTTTGGCGCGGTAGCACGCATTCGCTTCGGTTCTATAGCTTCCACAGTGCCGCCAATAAATGTCGCCTAGTATATAAGGGCCTCTTCTGCTAGTAAAGTATCCACAGTCGATGTCTCGGAAATACACGCACCTATATGCACATACATGCGCACTCAAAACGAATGCAAATGTGCACATGAGAAATAGACGCACCACCCTTCAGAAACAATGGCCTGGCTACGTCTCTACAAGACAATGGAGATGTGGAATGAAAGATGATTGCCGAAAGATGATTAAAAGATCACCCTCGTTTTTTTTTTCTGTGCATTCAGCAGCATAAGTGACGCAATTAGTGGCACCGGCGTGCCACCGGAGAGAGCCTTGCGTGGTGGACCAGTGGCTCAAGCCGGCAGCGCTTTCTTGCCGATTTCATCGTCATCTAATTTAATAATCAGCCCTAATGCACCCAATGCAGTCCTCTCCTATGAAGCTGCGCGCCTTTGCTATTACTGTACTTTTCAAACTGCTATTCATGTGATCTACTTGATGTAAACACCGTTCTTGCATTCTCATAAGCTTTCTTTGACATTGCTTTGACATTCTCTGCTGTTCATTACTCGCCACGTCACAGTAGATAGTGTATGATAGTGATAGTTCACGTGTCAGGGGCCCTTGATATACTATGCGTACTTAAGAAAAGCGCATTTTGGTATCGTGTTTTTCCTGATGAAAGCCAGTCCCCGGCTAAAACGTAGGAAAAATAAAAGTTTTCGTTTTGTCTGTCCTCCACTTTTTGGTATTTTTCCACTGGATCCAAGGACACCTTCTTTCACACACACACACACACACACACACACACACACACACACACACACACACACACACACACATATATATATATATATATATATATATATATATATATATATATATATATATATATATATATATATATATATATATATACAAGCACGAGCACAAACTTCATAAGTATGGGGTTGAACCCCCACCAAAAATATTTCTGGCTGCGCCACTGCACAGAACGATCCGCAAATGAACGTACTGATCACGTACGAGCGATAGTCCGGAGCCGTTTCAGTTCCCGTCATGTTGTCGAAACAGCATTTGTTTCCGAAAACAATTTCCGTGCATTCTGCTCCAGCTGTCATTGTGATCGTTACAGTGCAGTCAGGGTTTTGAACTTTCCGTGAATTCTGGAACAATAAGATCGTACCGAGCACCTCCACAATGAATTACAATCGATGCACAACGGCAAGTCGCACCATCGGCCTCTAATAAGAGCCGCACATCGGCAAGCATTCGCACCACAGTGCGCGCAGTCCAGTTATATTGCATGCATGGACACGCGCGCACATGAGCAGTGCTAAGAAAGATGCTCTCGATGCCGTTGTGCGGATTTCATTTGACATTGCCGGGATCGGAGCGACGCTCGCCTTTCATCCGGATGACATTCCATGATAAAAACAAAGCAGTGTCCAAACTAGCCTGATCGTGTTTTTGATATAGAAAAGATAACAAGAAACCAGCGTGAACAATTGCTTAGAGCGAAAATTCCACAGTACAACGTATCGCAACAGCAAGATTAGTGCGTGTGCATGAGGCAGTGCAATCATTTCATAATAACGCAATATAGCTCGCAACATCAAGTGTTTGCTAAAATGTATCTCAAAGCAGGCACAGAAGAAGATTAGCAGACGCTGCCTGCGTTGGCCTTGCTAGGCGAGAGAGGGGCAGGGGAGCGCCAGTTTTGGGGTGCCTTCCTGGGGTGGCACGAGACGCGAGCGTGCGCAGTGGGAGTGGGGCAGCGTTTACTCTGCAGGCTAGTCGAAAAAAAAAATAATAACGAATGCCCAAAAGCCAACATCATCGGACGCCGCTCACCCCTCATTCTCCTCCGCCGGTCACAATTTCGAGCAAGCTCCTGTTTAATTTTATGACTGGGCTTCAAAATTCTCGCGTGACGCTGCCTCCTCTTTTTTAATATAGCTCCTCCGCGAGCGTCTCCTCACCAACAGAGCCGCGAGCGGTGCAGCACGTGACGAGACCGTGTTGTGACGTCGGTAGGAACCGAAAGTAACCGTAATTACTTTTTGAGGAAGCACTCACGCTTAGCAGTGCATTTTTTAGGCTTCTAAGGCATGGCCTTCCATTAAATAAAGAAACAACAAACAGCAGAAAATTTTCGTGTCAGGCTTCAAGCCAATCAACGAGCCATAGCAGTACCTTGCTGGCTTCTTTACACGACAACGACTACCCCAGTGCGCCGGATTTACGTTTCATTTGGTGAGTTTCTCTTGACGTCATCTGCGTCTACACTACAGGCTGTCAGAAATGGCTTTTTCAATACGACTCCGCCAAAAAACACAACAAAGCATCTCTGCTAAGCAGTGAAGTTAAGAATTTTGTCCAAAATGCTGCTCTCATTCAAAAATTTCATTGCAGTTGGTCGCGCAAAGCTGAAGTTGAAAGAGAGAGAGAGAGATATATGGTATGAAGAAAGGCGGGGAGGTTAACCGGAAAGCAAGTATCTGGTTTGTTACCCAGTTCTTCCATATGAAAATGGACCTCACACACTGCTTGTACAATGTCGCCAATCGTACCTTTCTATACCGTCGACGTATACAAACCTTATGACCTACCTTTCGAGGCACTGAACAACTCAACGTTCGAAAAAGTGAGGTTTTGAAAGAACCATTCCACACAACGTCTCATCAGCATTTACTTATTCCCGAAGGCGAATTGTCGCAGGGCTCCCGAATCGTCCCCTCGCAGAACCCTAGATGCTAACACTGTTTCTTAAACGGGGAAGTGAAACTAAGGAACATCGTGCATAAAAGATGACACGTGCCAAACGTCCTCAAAATGGAGAAACTGATGGTTTCAACTTCCCGTACATTACAGCAAACCTGGTCTAGTCACACGGTTTCAGTGAAGAAACAAGGCCTAAATACAATGCGTTTACATGACCAGTTTCGCGTGTGTCTCGACGTAAACGTACCTTAGAAGCGTGGCAGTTTGGGCTAGCTGGTATGACTTGACGATAGTTACGGCGTGAGAACGGAACGACGACAAAGATACAAGAAGGAGACGAGCGCTCGTCTCCTTCTTGTATCTTTGTCGTCGTTCCGTTCTCACGCCGTAACTATCGTAAACGTACCGTCTGCATAATTTATAAAACGAGACGCACGTGCCGACGGGGGTTACGCAACGGAACTCTTCCTCCGCCGGCGCGGCAAGTGCTTTCACGAGGCGCGCCTTTGCGCACGCAATCACGCACCGCTAGCGTGAAGCAGAGCGTGTTATCAATGATCTCGCAATGACTGCACCCCTCTGCGGCCGGGAATAAAGCAGAGAGGGGTTGCACAATTTGCCTGACTGCGAGAGAGGGCCACTTGGCTCGTGCCCAAAGGCGGCGGCAGCAGTGCTCGCGTAATATCACCTCCCTATCGCTTTACATTATCTCGGCAGTTCACACATAATGGCAAAATACCACCGCAACGGCGAAGTGACGTACTGTGCGGTGGCAGCCTGGGGACACGCAAATAAAACGAAAATGCATTAACTCCACAACGCAACTCGATTCGCGATCGTCCACGGATGACCTCTTCCGAGAAAACGCCGAGGCTTGTCTCCGTTGTTAGCCACGAGCAGAAAAGTCGAGCCGTGAAATGCACAGCGGATAGCCACGTTACCGACATGTTGGGCTCGAAATCGTGTTGCTAGTGAGCAGAAATATTTGAGAAATCGTCTACGGAGGCCGTCGATACGGGTACGCTCCAGCCTGCAACGCTAAGACAGCGTTTGCACCGAAAGCTCCTTTCTGGCGCAAGCAAAACCTTGCCGCAGGCTGGCGAGAAATCGAACCGTCGCAGTAGCCATTAGCAGCTACCTCGCACGGCGACTGCCACCGGCGGCAAGTGGACATCGCACGAGGCTCGTTTGTAACCACGCGCGAATTTGGCCCCGTGGGCTCTGGTGCGCCGACAACAACGCGCGTGCGTGCCGCCGCATGCATGCCGCGATGAATATGCAAGGCTCAATTAGCTCACCGAACACGGCGACGCGCTGGCTTCCTGACGCCTCCGGACATTCGGACCGCAGGCGACGGGTCTTCGCTGGCTTTTCACGCCGTCAAGAGCCGTTGTTCCATCGTGCTCGAGTTTGTTTCGCGGCCGAAAACACTCGCAACCAACGTGCGCCCGGCCCACTCCCAATCACAAAATTTCCATGTTTCGTGGCGACGGGCGACGTTAGTCGGCGCGAGTGTTCGAGCAGCCGGTAGCCTCGAACCCGGCGACCGCGTGGAGCGGCGGCCGCCGCAGTTTCGGTTTCACAAGCCGCGCGCTTTCAACGCGTGCTAGAATTCACGCATCGATGAGAAGTCGAGCTCAACACGACCGAAAACGTCCGCATAGACTGAAGCTAGTTCTGCCGGTGTGCGTACTTGCAGGAATGCATATCCTTCAAATGCCGATTTTGACGGCCGTTTACTAGAAAATGTTAATCCACCGACATATTGGGGAGTTTTCGAATAGGGGCCCCAAAGAAATAGCGTCAAGGCCATTGCACATGCGCCAAACCCAAACCACGTTTGGGTTTGCGGGAGCCCCAGAGCCTGCCCCCAAAATTTTTGGGTTATACAAACGTGACGGCACCCACTGATGTGACGGCTCTCGGCCAAGACTGGAATGACATAGCATACAGGGGGAGTGTCCAAAGCACCGCAGACCCTACGAAAACTCATCGCTCCTGCTTGATCCAAAGCGTCCATGCGCAGAAAGCTTTGGTGCCCAAACTTTCGGGGTCCTATTGGAAAACTCCCTAACAAAGATATTGAAGTGAACAGTGTCAAAATCATTCAAGATAAAGTGACTTTCCGAAGTTCGTCTTATATACATGTACGAGTGACGAAGTATCAGGTTTTTCGGTGGCAGATTTTATATTAATAGATGCGCGACTTATGAGCGCCATAAAAACGATGCTACATTTCTGACACATGTTGCATCGCGTTGTCCGCGGAACACCTGTTTGAAAATGCGAACAGCTAATTCATTAAGTGTTGAGGATAAACATCTTGCCTAGCTGTCCAAGATTGGGTTTAGCATATATCAACAAACTACAAACCTAGGTACATCTCCGCAGTCCAGAAGCTGTACAACGTCACACGTATATATTGTCTTTCTATACTTTATTTATACAGAAATGACGAAATCGATTTTGGACATAAAAAAGTACGCCACTTTTTCTCACAAAAGTTATAATCATGAGAAACATATTTCGGTAAGGTACGTGTGTTAAGGTAGTTCACAGGGCATGCATACATGCTAGGGCAACGGGACGTAAGGGGGCACCCCAACCATCCCTTGCATGTAAGATAGAAAAACATGGTTTACCAAAAATGTCCGTACAACGATATGACGATAGTTATAGCGCGAGAACAGAACGATGACGCAGAGACACGAAGGACACGAGCGCTAACTTCCGAGTTTATTACGCAAAGCACGAAAATATATAGAGGAGACAGTAAACCATGTGAAAAAAACCATGTGGCACAAAGAGAAATAGACGAGTAAGGGAAAAAACAAAAGCACAGAAAAAGGCAAAGAAAAGTCTATAAAGAAACGAAACAGAAAGTGAGTTTCGTAAACTCAGTTGGAAGTTAGCGCTAGTGTCCTTCGTGTCCTTCTTGTCTCTGCGTCGTCGCTCTGTTCTCGCGCTATAACTATCGTCATGTCATACCAAGCTGCCACACTTTCAGGTCCGTACAACGTTTCTCTTGTCGACGTATTTCGCCTCCATCCTTTTCTGATAAATTTTTGACTTTGTGAACTGACCAATAAATTATTTCCTCACCAGCAGCCGGCTTGCTGTGTCTCCGCACAGGCTTTCAGGTGTTAAGACGAATTTTAGTTCGCCCCCAAATATAAATGGGAGTTATTTCTGTAAACAGTCGCTGCTGCCTACATAATTCACTACGCAAGACCTTTATATGCATAGCATCTATGAATTGTGCAGTTCACAATGTAGACACCTTGAAAGCACAGTGTTTATGGCATATACGGTTAACCTAATTAAAAATTGTAGGTTTATTATTATTTTTTTTTTTTGTGGACAGAGAAGCTGTTTAGGCTGGCCATATAAACTTTGGTGTGCATAGAAAAGAGAAATTGGATGAAGTTCACCACTGACCACTGGTTCACCGAAAATTAAGAAAGCGATAGACGGATGGCAAACAAACAAAAACTGAGAAACGCTCTATTAAAACTCCGGGATGGTAGCCCAGTAATGAGCAACGTCGCCGCACGATTCAGTTTAGCTGAAGCATCTGCATGGAATGCTTCAGCGGTACGTAGTACAACAAAAGAGCACTACGAGGTAAATGGGAAATGCAACGGCGGCTGCCAGAAGATTTGAAAAGGAGCCGGAATCCGAGCTGAATGTAGCCAAAGTAGACATGTCATTTAAGGTTATCGCCACGTTTGTAGCCAAATGGAGCAAAATTGGTAACACGACAAGAGTAATTTTTATCGTTACAGAATAAATATGATTTCAAATTGCAAAAAAAAACAACAACATGAGAATATGTGTACTATTTTTCAGCCTTCTTCGACGGTTGAGCGGCATGTGAGTTGAAAAAAAAAAGATGAACTATTTATTAGTGTAGTCATTCATTCTCAAGGTCAACGTAATTAAGTAGGATAGATGATAAAACGCAAAGATATGAGACAGAATACAGTGAGTAAAAAAGAACAATGTACAGGCTTACAACCTCACGAATATAATAATTAGCATCACTTTCCCGGTGGAAAGGTGATTCTAATTGCTTATTAGAGGGCGCAGTAGAAAACAAGCTTCAGCTTTACAAAATTGAATACGTACATAGCTATCGTAAAAGACTTGAAATATATAGCGTGTTTATCAAATAAATGTGCCGTGAAGAAAGCTGCAGTAAGTTCAAGCGACTAAATTTTCAACGCCGGTAATTTTTCAGGTAAATGGATCTCAATGAAAATCACTGGGTATGTTCATTTTCACGTTTGCGCCATTCATGCCAAATTGCAGGCTTGAGAGTTTCGAAGATTCTTTTCAAAGTAATTTTATAGCTTGCCTCTAAACGCTCACCTCGCTTGCCACAATTATTGGCCACATTGTGTGCGTCAGTGTGTGACGTTAATTTTTACCCGGTGGAAGTGACGGAGCCGATGTGCCGCGTACTGCAGCGTCTGCTTGTCTGCTGTGGATTGTGTGGGTTTGGCCGGCGCTTCCTTGGTAGAGCGTACAATTTTCTTTTCGGTGTTGTGGGCGTGCGATCGGTGGCAAGTTGTGTTGTGTTGTGAGCAACACACAATTCGCCATATATTCACCATAACAGCGTAAGCGTTTTAGCCAATCGCCGCAGGCGATGGATGGATGAATGGATTGATATGGCTCTACCATTTAGATCGGGCGGCGGCTGTCGCCGCTTAGCTGTAATACTTAGTGAACCAAAAACTAGATTTATCTTCTTTTTTTCTTTAAATAGTGAAGTTGAGAACGGGTACTTTGCAGTGAAGGGTTAAATTTTCACTCGTGCCTTGACTTTAGCCACCAATCAGATAACCTCCTTCTAGTTCAGTCTACCCGCTTAAAGTCTATTTTGCCCTCCCTGTCCCTGAACCCCAGTGCTTTGAAAAACTCTGCGCCATCATCCTGAACTATAAAGCGAAGCCCTTTGATGATGATGATGATTCGTGGCTTTGCCCTTTGTAACGGGTGAACACATATATGTTGTATTCCAGCTTAGGTGTATAAAGAAAAGAACAAACAAAAAAGGCACAAAGATGGGTTCACTTTTGGCACCATTTCCACTACTGTTGGAGCCTTGTCTTTGTGTTGGAAACTGCTTTCGCATTCCTGTCCGTCAAGGCCAGCACCTGAGGTAGTGTAGTGGCCTCTGCTGGGCAGGGTGGGAGTTTTTGGCATTGTAGCACCAAGCGCTGAACTGTCTCCTGTTCCGCTCCGCACGCTCTGCATAGGGTCGAGTGGATGTTTGGGTCGAAGTGGCTACGAAATGTGAGCGTGCGAAGCGCTCCCGCGCGCGCTTCGACCAGTAGCTCACTTCCACCACTGTTGTCTACACAGATATCGGGGCAATGGCCTTTTTGTATGTACGATACAGCATAAGTGCACTCTTCTGCTGCATCGAGATTTCCAATTGCACATTCTCCACTTCACGTATCCGTTTTCGGATTGCTGCGGAAAACTTGTGCTTCGTGATCTCGATTGTTGAGAGGTCCAACATGTCGTGTTTGCGTCGAAGAGAGTATACACTCTGTTCGACCACTGTGTACTGAGTCCCACGAAGTGCAGGTAGCGGAACATACAACGAGCCCGCCGCTGATCTTTCATGAAGCATAGGTGTCCTTCGTAACTGATCTTGGTCATGGCTTCCCGCGCCTCGTACGTAGACCAACCCATGGCCCCCTGGATGACCTCCACTGCAACCCTTCCATGGCAGCCCAATACCAAACGGCCCACCTCCCAGTGGCCTCGCTCCAGCCACTCACGGGTTTTGCTGGACAGGCATATGATGGCATTTAAGGTCAGACATGGTACATGAATCGATTTCCACAGACCTCGCACCAATACATATCTGTTGCAGCCCCAGAGGCTTCTCCGGTGCAGAATGCAGCTCGCATGCTGGGAGGTCAGCCGCAATAGATTCTCGTGCCCCGAGAATGGGTCTTCTCCCGTGCCTATGGTCATTCCCAGATACCGGTATTCTGTTGAGAAAGGTGACTTGTCTCCATTAAGAAGTTCTAACGGGAGGTTTGTGTCCACTTTTCAGCAAATTGGACAACAATCGACTTTTGAGGGTTAAATAGAAGGCCTAGATCTGCCAAATGGAGAGCCGATATTGTCACCAGCTGTTGTAGCTGATGTTGGTATTCTGCAAAAAGAACAATATCACTTGCAAAAACCAGCCCTGGCAGTCTCCATACTTCGGGCTGCCCTTCTGACAGGAATTTCATCTGGAAACCGATATTGGACTGGATGAGCGCACTTTCTAAACCTGATGCATATATAGCATGTAGAGATTGATTTGATTTGATTTGTGGGGTTTAACGTCCCAAACCACTATTTGATTATGAGAGACGCCGTAGTGAAGGGCTCCGGAAATTTTGACCACCTGGGGTTCTTTAACGTGCACCCAAATCTGAGTACACGGGCCTACAACATTTACGCCTCCATCAGAAATGCAGCCGCCA